GAGAGTTGACAGATTTTTTCTCATCTTCGGTGATAAAAACAAATAGATGATGTTTTAAAACTTAAAAGGAAGAAGAAAGGTTACTTATATATATATATATATAGAATAAATTAGATGCTTTCACAAAAGTTTTGTGACAAAACATATCTATTTGAAGCTAATTACACCCTTTAATTCCAATTTAAAGGGATCTTGACTGAGTCATCTCATTTTTTTCTCATTTGATATGTTTAAGTTTTTGACTCAGTTATTTTTTACTAAAATAGAAAAATTGAAATAAACGTTATGAAACAAAACCATGAAGAAATACATATACAACTATATATATACTAGTGAAAAATATCTTGGGAGGACAATATAATAGTCACTAAATAGTTGGTAAATTGGTGACTTTATCGCCACGACATGGTGACTAATTAGATGATTATTTTGTGACTAGTATACACAAAAAAATGGGTTTATTTCCTAAATTGATTTACCTAAATTGAAGTTGGATTCTGTTGAGGAAAGGGATGTTGCGAGAGGTTCAGTGGCTGGCGCGTTAGCTAAATGATTTTTTAGTCGTTGTGTAGTCGCTACTTGCTGACTAAATTTACGTCTGCTGTTAATAGTCGCTATTTAACAACTATATTATGATTGTATCTACTTAGTCGTAATATTTTCATTAAATAGTAGGTATATAGTCGCTAAACTTAGCGATTAAACTATTAATCGCTAAGTGTAGTCGTTAAATGCATGTTTTCTTGTGGTATATCAAATCTTATGGGGATCAGCAATTTTTTTTCAATTAAGTTGTGTCAAAGAAGTGATTGACTCCTTTACTGTATGCTCAAGAACCTTGTGATGGCCTTTTGACAAACTGTGAAAAGTAACAGAAAAAATAAAAATAAGTTCATTAAAAATCACCAAGGAAGCCAAGGAAAGTTTGTCGACCCCTTAATTCTAGTTATAGCAGATGGTGGTATCAAAGAGGTTACGAGTGAACATACAATCATATATAATCTCAAATATATGATCCGTGTTCATCTTCCAAGTAGATGCTTCAACCTGCGGTGATAAGCTTTCGTCCTCGTAAAACTACTTTGACTAACATCATCAATGAAGTGCATCTTTGAATTTGAGATTACACAAATTCATCAAATTTGGGAATGCAATCCACATTACTGTATATTTGTTTCTTTTTTTTTCTTGAAAAAATTACTTAGATAGAACATAATTGTATGTTTATTTTTTACACAGACAAATCTTTTTTTATTCCTTAGATGTTTACTGATATGGGTGTAATTACAATAAACACACTTGGTCATACTACTTTTAAAAATTGCCACGTCATATTCGAAATGCCACGTCATACACGAAATTGCTATATCTTTATTAACAGTTATTATGTATTTAATGATCAAAAGAAGGGGAAACTGAACAATTTCGTCACTATTCACAAACGAAAAAAAAAAATTTGTTCTTTCTCTCTCGAAGCCGACAAAGATTGAAAAAAGAAAATCCGGTGGCTTTTTATCGTGAGCTCCTTTCGCGAGTCGATACCTTGTCTCGCCCCCTTAAATGGGTGCATGTACATCACACCTCCTACAGTGGTGAAAAACTTAGTTACGGGAACATCCAACAGAACCTTCTGAACTGACTCTCGCCGCTTCTGTTTCTCGTCTCTTCCGGCCGCTTATCCTATTATTAGTGTGTCTCTCTCTTTCTCGACGTCATTGCTGTCGCATTTCTTCTCAACTTGGGTGGAGACTTTTCGTTCTCCAACAAAAATAATAGGGAAATACGAAACGTCGTTTACGGCTGAGTTATGCCACAATGCAGCTAGGTTATATTGTGACTTATTGTAAGTTACGACTGAGTTGTGTTTTTTTTTTTGTAATTGTTCACGCACATGAAAAAATATCTCTACCTCGACGATTTCGGCAAAAAATCCTAGTTCTCGTCGCTTCTCTCTCTCTCTTCTCTTATGGCCGCTTTGATTCTCGACGAGTCTCTCTCTCATCGTTATTGTTGTCGCATTTCTTCTCAACTTGAGTGGAGATTTTTCGTTTTCTGACAAAAATAACAAGGAAATACGAAACGTCGTTTACGGCTGAGTTATGCCACAATGCAGCTGAGTTATATTGAGACTTATTGTAAGTTACGGCTGAGTTGTGTTTTTTTTGTAATTGTTCACGCACATGAAAAAATATCTCTACCTCGGCGATTTTGGCGAAGAACCCTGGTTCTTGTCGCTTCTCTCTCTCTCATCTCTTATGGCCGCTTTGATTTCTCGACGAGTCTCTCTCACGTCGTCATTGCTGTCGCATTTCTTCTCAACTTGGGTGGAGATTTTTGGTTTTCTGACAAAAATAACAGGGAAATACGAAACGTCGTTTATGGCTGAGTTATGCCACATTGCAGCTGAGTTATGCCACATTGCGGCTGAGTTACATTATGACTTATTGTAAGTTACAGCTGAGTTGTGGTTTTTTTTGTAATTGTTCACGCACATGAAAAAATATCTCTACCTCGGCGATTCCGGCGAAGAATCCTATTTCTCGCCGCTCTCTCTCTCTCATCTCTTATGGCCGCTTCGATTCTTGACGAATCTCTTTCTCGTCGTCATTGCTGTCGCATTTCTTCTCAACTTGGGTGGAGACTTTTCGTTTTCCGAAAAAAATAACAGCGAAATACGAAAAGTCTCTACCTCGGAGATTCCGGCGAAGAACCCTATTTCTCGCCGCTTCTCTCTCTGTCATCTCTTATGGCCGCTTCGATTCTCGACAAATCTCTCTCTCGTCGTCATTGCTGTCGCATTTCTTCTCAACGTTGTTTACGGCTGAGTTATGCTACATTGCGGCTGAGTTATGTCATATTACGGCTGAGTTATGATATACGTTCTCGAGTTTACAAAATGTGTTTTTTGGGAAAGACCAACAATAATTACGTACAAATATTCACACGCACATGCATAATAAAGTCATAGAGTATTATGTTTAAAAAAAGTTATTCAAAATAATTCAAATTTTCTAAACAAAATAATTTAAATAATTTAAAGTTTTCTGTCTGAATATAAAATAATACATCACGACTAAGTTATGTCACATTGCGGCTGACTTATGCTACATTACAGCTGAGTTACGATATACTTTCTCGAGATTACAAAAAGTGTTTTTTTTGGAAAGACCAACAATAATTACGTACACACATTCACACGCACATGCATAATAAATTCATAGAGTATTATGTTTTAAAAAAAAAACTAATCAAAATAATTCAAAATTTGATTTCAAATTTTCTAAACAAAATAATTCAAAGTTTTGTGTATGAATATATAATAATACGTCACGGCTGAGTTATTTACTTTTCATGGTTCACTTTTGACTAAAACTTTAATTTAAAGGGACATTTGTATGTTAACATTAGCATTTGTTATAATAATGTAGAGATTAAATATATTATAATACGATAAATAAAAATTTCAATAACAGCTTTTTACATTCTATATTGATCAACTGTGTAGGAATATAAGATAAGTATATGGTTTGGGATTTATCATTTTGTTGGATAAGTTTTAAAAGGTTCAAACCTGAGCTAATTTCATGATTTTTATATGGAAAGTTAATAAAAGTGTTAATTACATACTATTAAAGTGTTTTCATTACATCAATGCATCAAATATTCACATCTACCGTATTTGAGGTTTGGCCGAGTTATGCCAACGACATGGTTGACTTATTGCAGAACAATTCGAGGTTTGGATGAGTTATTCAAACGACATAGCTGACTTAACGTAAATAAATTCGTGGTTTGGCTGAGTTATGTCATCGTCATGGTTGACTTATATAGACTATTTCGAGGTTTGGCTGAATTATTGTAACGAGAACATGTAGCTAATCGTTACTTGATGGCTCAACTCATTCAATCTGTAGTCATCGAGAACCAACTTCACAAGCTTGTCGTGTGTTCTTTCAACATCTATCTACACAACTCTACACCCTCTATCGTCAGCGTTAAATACATATTTTTGTATTTACCCAATTATCAGAAACAACAATTACTAGAACCAGATCCATCAACGAAAATGAAGAAGAACTCAGGTGAAAAAAAAACAGAGTGTAACAAAAGAAAGAAAATCTCATGTTGAAGAGGGCGACTTTTCGTATTTCCCTCGTTTATGATGAGATGGAATGCTGACGTGGAATTATGCATTTGAAGTCGCAAGTCAGCCACCAAACAAATATGTAACTCAGTATGAATAAATCAGCAACAACATGAAAAATATTTAAGTAATTACTAAAATATTTTTTAAGATGTCGAATTCAGCCGTAACGTCAATAAGTCAGCCGTAACGTCAATAAGTCAGCCGTAACGTTAAATAAGTCAGCCGTAACTAGAAACTATATTAGTAATTAATCTTTTGTCAATAAGTCAGCCGTAACATGGTTGAGTTTTCCGTTAAGTCAGCCAATTACGACTGAGTTATGTCTCTGAAACATAAGTCAACCATAACGACATTTAATAAATCGGCCGTTGTCGATAACTCAGCCAACCAGAGAAAGATAACTCAGCCAAACTTCTGATAACTCAACCATCGGACTATAACTCAACTGTAACTGCGGCTGAGTTATTAACCGTTTTCTCATAACCTAACCAGATTTTTATAAGTCAGCCGTACCTGTTGGCTGAGTTATGATCGTAAGTCAGCCGTTGGCTCGAAACTCAGTCGTTGTCCAGAACTCAGCCGTAACGTGACATAACTCAGCCGTAACGTACGTTATGGCTGAGTTATTGGAGACACTCGCCATTTTTTCTGACGTGGCGATGTCATTTTTCGTAGTTAGTTTTTTCCGATAACGTGTAAAAAGGGCACACTGGTAATTAAAAAAATACGACAAGCATCTAAAGATAAAAAAAAGATTTGATAGGTTCTAGTCAATACACCTAAAATGTACTCTATCTAAGTAATTTTCTTTTTTTTTTCTTTTTCTTTGTGTGTTAGTGAGAACAAGTAAAAAACTATAAGCCACAAACCCCATAACTATATTTTATTACTTTTTTTTTGGACCAACTATATTTTATTTCTTTAATATAAAATCTTATCATAAATGAGATATGAATTATTTTTGTAAATAATTTAGTAACTACATTATTAACGAGGAGGCCATGGACCACAACAGTAGCAATGTTTGCGCTCTTTGTCTTTGGCAAACCTTTAATCCTCTAATCCTTTACCCTTCTTCTTACAAAAAGACTCACAATCTTTGAGAACACACAAACCAGTTTTTGATTTAATTGGAAGTTCAATACATCGGTTTTGCTCCACATTCCCCATCACTCCTGTTATCATAATATATGATTTATAATCAGCAAATTTAAATATACTAGTATCTTTGTTTTGGAAATAAAAATATTATATTTTCGTCTAAAAATATGTTTAGAGGAGTTTTTGTTTTGCATATTGTAATGAACAAAAAAGAATGTGTATTCAGACATTTATCTTTGCAATGTAAATTATGAATCAGTTTATATTACAATAACTTTTATAATATATGAAAGGTACATAAGTAATAAATTAATTAAAGAACTACCCAAAACAAGATGACAAAAAAAAAAAAAAAAAAAGCTACCCAAAACAAGTTACCAGAAGTTTAAATTTATGGGGTTGGTTCCCTACGTCTAACAACTTAATAATCTGACCTTATATAAATTTGACATCAAAGTGCTAAACTCGACACTGTGGAGTTCTATAGTGAAAACTAATTTTGATACTAATATTATATAACTATAAAACTGGTATTCAAAGAAATAGTTTGATATTAAAATTCAATTTCTTGTAGAACGACAATATATATATATATATATATATATTTATACTAACCTAACACAAGAATGATGAAAATAGTAAGAATGGTAAATGAGAGTTGAAAGATTTTTTTCATCTTCGGTGATAAAAAGAAATGGATGATGTTTTAAAACTTAAAAGGAAGAAGAAAGGTTACTTATATATATATATATATAGAATAAATTAGATGCTTTCACAAAAGTTTTGTGACAAAACATATCTATTTGAAGCTAATTACACCCTTTAATTCCAATTTAAAGGGATCTTGACTGAGTCATCTCATTTTTTTCTCATCTGATATGTTTAAGTTTTTGACTCAGTTATTTTTTACTAAAATAGAAAATTTTAAATAAACGCTATGAAAAAATCATGAAGAAAATACATATACAACTATAGCATGACATTGTTAGTTGATCCAATATGTTATTTTAGACAATTTTATGATTTTGAAAGATTTTGAAACAAATTTGTAAAATTTTGAGAAACTTTATAAAATTTTAAATGAGGGATTCATAGCTTACTTAATAATATTTATTTCATTTGTGATTTTATAGATTTTTTGAGGTTTTTAATAGTTTTGAGTTTTTATCTGTGCATTCGATATTTTAGACCAAATTATATAGCAGTAACCATATAAATTAGGGAGAAATTGATGAAATCATCAATAGCAAGTACGATACTAAGTTAAGTTGTATGGAAAAATGCAAATGAGACTAAGCCAATAGGAAAAAAATTGTATAGATATGGATATTCTTTTGGAAATCAAGTATAAAGAGAATAGCCATTTAGCTAGAATTCACAATACTTGAGAAATATAAAACATTATGCTACCAACTATTTGTACGCTTGTACAATAAGAAATATAAAAATATCAAGTAAAATAATTAATAACACCTTATGTACATAATAATAAAGAGAAATACTCTAAAATACTATAAACTAAGTTTTCTTCCAAAAGTATTATCAATATTGTTTCCAAAAAATATTATTATAAATTTTTTGGTCTACAAATAATATAAACACTAAAAATAATTTTGAAGGAGTTTATGAAATTTTGGGTTGATTTTTATTATTTTTGGTTTAAAATTTATTTATGAGAATTTTTGAGAAATACCCCTTTTGGTGTACCCTTTTTTTAAAATACCCCTTTTATCTATCCATTTTCAAAAATACCTCTTTTTAAATATAAAAAATTATAAAGTTTATATAGTTTATAAGGTACTTCTATATAATAACTACTACTGGGAGATTCGATACAAATATTTTAAAATGTTTTAAATAGTTTTAAATCGTTTTATAAGTTTTATAAGGTTTTTAAAAGGTTTTTAAAAGGGTTTATACGGTTTTATAAGGTTTTTATAATTTATTTTTACGCTATTTATGAAAGGTGTATAAAGTTTTAGACACATATAAAGGTAATTTGTGTATATATTTATAAGCTTAACACATATTTGGATAAATTTCAACATTTTTAGTGGGTTTTTTGATAAAGTTTGAAAAGGGGGTATTTTTAAAAAGAGGTATATGAAAAGGGGTATTATTGAAATTCCCCCTTTATTTTTTAATGTTTAGTTTGAATACTTAAAAACATGTTTAATTAGTTTTGTGTTATTTTTCATTGTCCGCATAGTTTTGTTTCATTTTTTTGAAATGCTAAATATTTTTTTGATAATTATTTGAAAAGTAACATTAGATTAGTATTTCTTAAAAATTATTTATGAAAATTTTACTATTATTCTCAAATAAAAATCAACTTTATCACAAACCAAACAACCAGAATTCAAACCCAAATAAATTAATAAAATATAGAACCATCATCTTTCAATGGTAGAGATATATATTTATTAGTCATGAAAGACTTTTTTGAGTTGAAAGAGAGAAGTGGTCGATGTTGCTTGCTCCACTTTGGCGTTAACGTCGACGTTTGAAGCAATAAGAACATTACTAATCCACAGTCAACAATTTCTGCTCCATTCATTTTGACTACCCATGTGATTGCCCATTTTGGAATCTTCTACCCATATTATTATTATTTTTTAAAATTTGAAAATATTCACATTGGATTTTAATATAGGGTATTATTTACAAATACATGTTTGGAATATGTTAAAAAAAAAAATTAAAATTATTTTTAATATATATAATTTATATAAAATTTACCTTTTTATAATAATAATTCATTTGTATCACCTAATCTATTTTCATATTTTTGTCAATATTTTAACAACGGTCCGAAACGCACTTTACTAATCTATTTTCAGTGTTCAGCAAAAAAAATAAACCGCTCAATTTATATTTATGTCAATCAACTCTATTTAATCTATTTTTATTTTATTTAATATACTTAGTCCTTTTAATATGTTTGGCCTAATATACATTTTTCGTTCTCTAAAAAATACAAAACACCAATGTCTAGTGACAGAACAAGGTAAAGTTGACCAAGTACATTTGATTTGATTGGTCACAACTCACACAAGTTTCTTCATAGAGACTACTTGGTCAACCAATGTTGTATTTTCTTTAAAATTAACAAAACAATAATTTCCCACTTGCTGATGATATGCGTTTTGACCGAGCTATCTTGTTCTAGAAATAGATAACGTTCTAGTATAAAAATCTGACTCTATCCTTCTAAACCACAAAACAAACTACATAGAGTTTATTTACTAATGAAGACATTAGTTGTGAAGTGTTTCCTTCTATTAGCTCTTGTATCCAGCTGCAGAGCAGCAGATTCAATATGGGATCTTTGCAACAAAGATTCAAACATTTCATCAAGCAGCCAAGTTTCCAAGAACATCGATTCTCTTCTCGCTACGCTTGTCTCAAAGACTCCTTCACAAGGTTTCACGACTACAACTTCCTCAAGTTACAACAACAAAGAAAAAGTTTATGGACTTGCTCAATGTAGAGGAGATATTAGCCAGACCGATTGCTCCACGTGTATCCAAGACGCAGCCAAGAAAATCCGCGAAATCTGTCCTAACCAATCCGACTCAAGAATCTTGTACGACTTCTGCTTCTTACGTTACAGCCAAGAGAATTTCATAGGGAAGCTTGATACGGCCGGTGGTCTTATATACTTCAACGTTGCTAATGTAACCGAGACCGATCCCAAAACGTTCGATAACGAGCTTGGAGCACTCTTTGACAAGATTAGGTCTGAGGCGGGTTTGCCTAAGAGTCAAGGTTTAGGTAAAGGTAAGACAAAGCTGACACCCTTTGCGACATTAAACGGTTTGGTCCAATGCACGAGGGACTTATCCGAGTTGGATTGCGCTCAGTGCTTTGCGACTGCTGTCGGGAGCTTCATGACAGCTTGCCACAACAAGAGAGGGTGTCGTGTTTTGTATAGTAGTTGTTATGTCCGGTACGAGTTTTATCCTTTTTACTTCCCTCTTGATCCGGCTCAAACCGGTCCTAATGTTGGTAGAGTTTCTTCTCTTCGTCTCTCTCCATAGTCACAAAGTCCAATACAAGAGTATAGATTATATCTACAATAAGGCTCTTTCCTTTTGTTTCTTCTATAAGATGTAAACAATTATAATTTGCCAAGTAATTTTTCTTTCTTGATTCCAAACTTAAAGATATTGGATTCTAGTAACAAGTCCCAAGATTACTATTAAAACATATGTGTTGAGGATATATGAAGGATTCAAGAACAATACCTCCAAGCTTTTGAGTTTCCCTTGATGATACGAAGTGCTAGAGTTGTCTTTCCAGAAGCTTCTTCTCCATAAACCTCAGCCATTCTTTCTTTTGTAAACACACAATTTAGAGACCTCATTAAGTGCAATTGTACGTTATAGCATGACTAGTCCTATCTCAGACTCTAAATTAAACAACCTTTTGCAATCCTCCAACTCCAAGAACAAGATCAAGGGTTAAGGGAATGTAATGACAAATTAGAATCTCTATAAAAATCACCCGAAAGCAGTGATAATGCTAAATGCAGAGCAGTGTCTTTCTCCACTACTTAGCTATCATCAAGCTTCAGACTATGAATTACTTGATGAAGTTCCAGAGTAAACAATTTATGGTAACCACAAAACAAAGGAAGTTACTGATTACTTAGAGAGGAAAGATACAAAAGAGTTTTATAGCTAGAGCAAGCCAAAACACCTAATTGTTCCCTTATGCTATAGAACAAGAGAAGATACATTTATTTAGTTAGTAGCTTGGGATAATTATCATCATTGTTACTCTACAAGGAGAAATTTTTATTTCTCTGGGGTTGGAGCAACTAGTACACAATAAGTGCTACCCTAGTTTCTTCTTCATCTGAAAAACAAATCAAATCTTTCTTTATTACAGTCATCAAAAAGTTGAAGGCAATAGGGCAGAAACTAATCAACTTAGCCATTGTTTGTAGAGAACAGCAAAATTAGAAACAAAGAGAACCTGAGATTAGTTAGAGAAGAAATGTCTATAACAATGTGGAGTGCATAGTCAATAGTGATCATGAAACTGTTGCTGGTTCTTCTCTTGCTTTTGGTGAATACTATTTGTTGCTCCTACGAGGACGATACGATGACTATTGTGGGCTTTAGCATCAGCTCCCACTAACTGATGATGACCGTGTGATTCCTTCTTGCACTCCAAAATCGAACTACATGGAGATGGAACTAGATTATTCTCTTCTCGTAAGTTCATTGGTTTGATTGGTTTGGCACATGCATGAATTGATCTACGTATATAATATAACTTATAATCTTTCTTTTTTTTGTTTAACCACTTCATGTTATTAGTTTCTACTTTATTTTCTAGGTGTTTTCAATCTCTATATATAGACCCCTAAAGTACGCCAAGAATTTTTGCAACATACATATAAATCATGAAGTTATTGGTGTTTGTTTTTTCTTTTTCTTTTTCCAATTTTGGTGTTTTCATCATTTTATTAATGCTTTTGTATATCAACGTTTAACTGAGTCGATACATTAAACCTAGTTTTAGTTTGTATTCGTAAGTCTACTAAATATCATCCGAAAATAACAATTCCCTTGCTTGTACGTAGTTGACTCATAAATTTTCTTGTATTACTAGTATATGAAAATATAAATACCTACAATATCTTTTGTCTTGTATATTAGAAAAAAAATCGATTTATTAATATAGTCTGATACTCTGATGAGCCCATGTCTATACACATACATATGTATACATACATTATGATACATAGTTAGAATATATGTGCCAAGGACAAAACGCGTTTACTTGAATAGTTGAAAGTGAGTATAGTAATTATTTTCTTCACTCACCATTATGAATTTATGATGAATCGTTGCTTTGCTTATAGGCCACTTGAGATATGCCTATATGCTTTGAAATTAACCCAAACAAGCACTAAGACCTTTTTGAAAACTCCATATTAACAAATTCACTTTTTTTTTTTGGTTTCCATGTACATTCTTGGAAGTGGGAACAGTATATATATATATATGGTAATTACATGTTTTTTTTCTTTCTTTTTTTCTCTTTTGCAAAAGCTTTGAGTATATGTTAAGTATATGTCACATATACATATACATATATGGAACATCCTATGGGCTAATCAGTTTCAGGAATGCTATCTAACAAAGGTCTCCAACCTTTATGACACTCATCATCCTCACCACCATCACCATCATCATCATCACACAGATGTTGCTTAGCAAGAGTCCTATAAACCATATCATGAACTGAACCTCCTTCGAGCAGCTTCTCAAGCTCTTGCTTACTCACAACCATCTTGACTCTCACAAAACCATTAGTCTTCTCCATGGTGTTGTCACAAGAACCTATGAAACTATCTTGTTCTTGTTCTTGTTCTTGTTCTTCTTGTTTTTCCACCTCTGGATTTGCAAACCTGACTTTCTTGATGGTCTTGATTGTGGAAGACGTGTCCATGGGCAAGAGGTAGTAGAGACGACCACAGAGAAGCTTGGCTTGAGGATGAAGATGACAATTGTTGGAGAGCGAGTCAAAGAGAGAGTAGTGAGGAGAGAATTGGGTGAGGATGTGATGAACCTTCATTGGTCCTTTGTATTCAACTACTTTCCCATCATTTCTCATTATCTTTATTACTTTGTTCTCCATTACTAAACAGTTCCCCATCCTTTTTTTTTCTTACTTTTAGTTTATATAGTTTTCTTTTTTTTTGTCTCTTGAGTTTTGGAGATTTGTGTTTGCATATTTATAGAGCTTAGGGTTATGTGAATGCCCTTATATTTCTAGAAAATTCACGAGAAATGCCATTATCTCAGTTGGGACCCTAATTGATCTTTTATGTACAAAGTTGCATCACCGTTGCATGCATCCAATGTATGTTCATGGATTATGTAGGTGGTACAAGATACTAAAATTTATATATATCACCAAACCTTTCAATATTCTATATCTTGGTCTCTTGAAGATTTGAGCTAGTGTCATTTATAAAAAGAGTATTTAAAATAGTTTTTAATATTCAAGTTGTTTAACTAATGATTCATTTCATGTCGGTTAAATTAATAAGGATGGTGGTCACATTATATATATTTTTTTTCCGTTTGTTAGAAACAAAAATGAAACATTAAACAAGATCTCGTTCATAAAGATTGTTTCTATATTTTTAACTAAACGAAAATATATATATTATGTGTGATTGCATTACACCAAACCATGCATAATTATACTTTAGTAAACATCATCTAACTACACTAGATTCAACTGTTACAAGTAGTACCATTCACAATCTATTGACCAAAGAGGTAAAGGATTGTAGCAGAGGCTTGCCTAAATCAGAAGGTGGAGCCACTAGCTAGGACTCTAAGAGGACCACAAAAGAGTTCACATGACTTTTGATGAGTGGATGTCACTTCCAAATTTTGAACCACAACTTGATTTCTATAATCATATATTATATTCTATACTTCGCACTATACGACATGTTATTATTGTTTTTTGTTAAAAGTAATTAGTAAAAACGCATTACCTTATTGATGGATATGCACTGTCAAGTGATGTACATTGCAATATCCTCATTTGTTTGCATTTACTTAAGTTTAATTTTATGATTTTTGTAGTTTTATTGTTGCTCAAAGCTGATATATCTGATCAATTTTGATTTAAGTTGAAATGGAAAATATTCATAAAACTTCAAATTATGCTCGGTTTATTTTGGTTTGTCTATATATATATAAGCCCTCCTTTGTAGATAGCTTGACTCGGTAGTATTGTTTCTTTTGTAACGTTGGACCATCACCATGTTGTTGATTTTAACACCATCTACACGAATGATCTAGCTTATCATAAGTCAAATCAAGCTCACAAGATCCAATGAGTAAAACGTATCATCTCGTGCATGGTTGAATTTGGTAAAAATTTTACTCTTTCTTTTAAAAATTCACCAAACTTAAATCTCTTGTGATCCAAAAAGAAATTGCATTCGGGTCTGCCTAAAACAAATTCTAACGTCATATATTATTTTTGTACAGAGAAATATGGACCGTTAAAGACATATATACATAGCCAAATATATACCAAAATTACCAAGAAAACCGAACACTCTTTACATACTTAATTAGTTATCTCTCTACTTTGCTCGGTAGCTTCACCAAACTTTCTCTATCCATCAGTCCATCACTATCTTAATTCTCAAATATACACATTTATACTTATATAATCCTATTTGCCCTCTTGATAAGGTACGTAAGCTTCTACAAAGTTGATATTTTTGGGTAGTGTGGTCCATTCCATTTCATCAACTAAGTTTAAAGTGCTTGCTAGTATATGATAAAGTGGTTTCGACTTTCGATTATAGGTTCCACCAATGAAGCATGTTTCATATTTAGTATATATTTTGTTTTCTTGGTAAACGTTGAATTTTCAGTATGGTATCATATTATACATTACAGTATAATTTCTTACCAAGTTAGTGGATTAATGTATTGAATATATAAAAGTGATAAGTGGGTTTAGATTATTTACTTTCCTTTTTCTTTTGGTCGGCAGAATTTTTTTGAGGACACACTCAAAAGATAATGATCGTGTATAGGAAACCAAATAAGTAGAGAGGTAAAGATGAAGAAAAAATTACAATGGGTGGGTAAAGATAGATAATTATGGGTTTTTTCTTGTCTTTGGTAATATAGTGGATGTTGATGATATGATGATCTAAGCCAAAGATAAAATAAATAAATGATTCAATCTGCATTTGCTTACAATGTAGGGCACTAAGAGCACTCTCCCATTTAGTGGTGGCGGCAGAAATTTTTACATGATAAAGATGGAAATTTGATAAACTTTTGTTGTAAGATATTTATTCATATTTGTTGTAAATTAGAGAGAAGAGAGGAGAATTCGTGATGCCTTTATTAATGAGTCAAACATCCTTAAGATGGATATAAGGGAGAAAAGTAAAATCTAATACAAATAGGAAAAGATTAAGTCTCTTCAATATTGGACGGACGGGGCTTGATTATGAGTCGGGCCGAACTGGGTTTGATATGACAATCTACCATATGATTTATAACAATATTATGCATTTCTATGCATACAAATCTCACGAAGTACCACATCGTGATAATTATGTGAAGTATCAATTAGAAATTTGTTTTTTCTTCTTAGCAAATTTTTGAGTTTACCATTTTTTTTTGTCAAATCTTATGGATTTGCTATTATTCAAATGATAAAAATGTTACTAAACATATTTTTTACTCGTTACATTTGGGTTTAGTCAGTTTTATTTGTCTTTTAAATTTCAGTATTTACTATACTGTGTATTTTAACAACAACAAAAATCATATATATAGATATTATTATATGTTCAAAAATGACAAATCCATAAGATTTTAACATAAATGACACATTAGTTACCCTCATAATGGCATTTCTCGTAAAAAATCTCTTATATAAATACATAAACAAGCCTGCCCACTGACAAAAAATTTGAAAACCTCTCTTTCTACTAGAGTGTTTCTCGCATAAGAGAGAAAAGACAAGGAACTATTGGTAGAGCTTTGCTGTTTCGGTTTAGTTGTTAACACCAAACCGGGAATTCCGGTTCAATTAGATTTCCTATAAACTCAACATCACATTCCCCTCCACATTCACAACCTTTTCATGGACCAGCCACGGCGAAGCAATCACTTCTGGACACAGATAATATTAGTAACAGTTTTGATCCACAAACTTACATTAATGGTTTACACTGTCTCTCAATCAGAATATAACACAAACGTAAGTTTCAGTTAGTAGGCAAAACTCATCGGTAAGACCATTTAGTAGACTCGAACTCCTCGTCGCTGTCGATGTGCCTATAACCATCCACATCCTCTGCGTAATCATCAAACTCGTCGTCTCCAAGAACTCTTTTTACATGTCTTTCTGAAGTCTCCTCGTCGTCTGATTCATCAGAGGCATCACTCTTTTCTTTCTCTGTTTCATCATCATCATCATCATCATCTTCATCATCTTCTTCTTCTTCTTCCTCCTCGTCCTCAGAGATCTCTTCTGGATAATCGTTCTTTGGGTGCTCTTCAGCTGAGTTACAGAAATTTAAAAACATAGTAAGTATTACTTCTTTCTTGACTTTTGCTATGTCGCACAGTACACAACCATCAATGCTCAACAATATCAATGATAGTTCTGCTCAATGTTAACTCATAATAAAAAAGATATCAAGAGCGTTGTAAATGCAAAGGCTACAAATCAGAACTACGAGATTTAAAAGTGTACCATTTGAATCATCAGAGTCGTAGTCTGATTCATCAGGTCCATCGCAGTAGTCTTCTTCATCCTCGACTATGACACTGAAAAAAAGAGACCCGGCAACCAATATTAACAGGTGACACAAGAGACAAAGAAGAAATAGTAAAGGACTCCTCGGGAAAACGAATACGCACAGAGGAAACTGGATCTTGGAACTATCTTCGCTGATATCCATCTCTTCGTTCACAGCATAATAATCATAAACGTATTCTTCAGTGCGAGTAGAATGAATATCAGCTTCAATCTCTTCAGCTGCTGTTGGAATACACTCTCTGAGAAGAGGCAAGAAACTAGCAAGCATTTTCTGGTCCTCCAACGATGTAACCCTACAGAACGAGTGTACCTTTAAATACTATTGTTTCTCCAGCTACAGTTAAACTATTCTGAATCTGAGATCTTAATTACAAATGTACATTAGTAGGGAACTTACTCTTGTGCATTGTCTCTTTTTTCTTCAGCATCAATACGAACAACGTCATAGAAATGACACCTATCATGGATGCCTTCCTTGTTTCCCTTCCTACTCCGCCATATCTGCTCAAACCGAGCATTCCCTGCAGCAATCTAACAGAGGGTGGAACTTGTGACTAAATTATTACCTAAATCTCAGTCTAGATATGTAAAATGGTATTAGATCTTCTCCTAAGATATTAATCTAAGAGAAACTGAATGACTAATAGGCAAATACCTGTTGCTGTTGTACCGCTTTGGTCAGGCGTTGTTCCTTTCTCTACAGGCCAAACGAAAAAAAAATTAAACCATCACACGAATAGCGGTTAAGAGATAGAGAATCTGGAATCTGGAATTAAAATTGCAAGTCATTAAAAAAACTTGAAACAAGGTACATTATCTTTCTTGAAAGAAATTTTCCGCTCTTCAAACTTTTCTTTACTGCAACTTTTCTCATTAAGATCAGACTCCTGCAGAGCCCAAAATGACAACTATAAGAACATACAAACAACAACAATAAAGTGCAGGGTTTGTATTTCAACCAGACTACGAAAGTTCACTCACAAAGAAAGAGTGGATAATGTCAGCCGTGGTCTCAGACTCCGTGACTGTCTCCAAATGCCGCACTAGCACCTTCTTCGGTTTCACTTCCTCTGACACAGAAGAACCTATATCCACATAAACAATACTGAAGTTTCACTGAGTCCAAACCATAATCACACAAGCACAAAAACCCAGAGATAAATATAGAATTACCTCTCTCGCCTGAATCTGAAATTGATAACTTCGATAAATCCAGAGTCGGCCGTTTGAGTGGTCTTTCATTTATCTCCAACCCTAAATGCCAAAAAAATATCAGTTTTTCCCCATTCAAAACAATAGATACATACAGAGAAATCCAAGAGCATTGCTACCAAAGGTCAAGGGTCACAAACAGAGCACACATATAGCAAAAAGAGAGAGAAGAAACTTACAGAAAGCATCGAGCAGAGACTGTCCAACTTTACGCTTAACTCTAACAATCACAGGCTTCTCTCCTACCTCATTCTTTTGAGTAGAAGAGCTTTCACCCACTGTATCCATGGTGGAAACCGCTGCTAAATCCTCAGCCCACTAAAGGGTTCGTAATCTAAAACATCAAGATACCAAAAATCAACTACTAAATATCATTACTTTACAAAGGAATCTGGAGATACATACACCCATATTCAAAGAACAACCATTCACACTCAGGTTTAAACCAAGAACAATCTCACTGTGCCACTTTGGTTACAACTGATTCGGAAGTAAGAAAAAAGCTTAAAGGTTTATGCTTTATCACATAGACACACTAAAGATTTAAGCTTTATGGCTACATCAGTTAGAAACGAACACTAAGTCTATATATAAGCTATAAAGAAAAAAACCCAAAATTCAGCAGAAGCTGGAATCATTGTTACAGCTCATGGAGCTCTCAAGTTTTGAAATTTACTTGAAGAATTAGGTAGAGTGAATAGAAATTTACCTAATTTCGTTGAGATTTTTGATTAGATTGATTGATTCGAGTGAGCTCTGCGAAGACGATGACAGAGAGAAGAGAGCCCTAATGGTGGGAATGAGAGAGGGCGAAGAATGAATTTAACTGCGTTTTAATTTACAGACTACGTAAAACGACGCCGTTTTCCTTTTGTTGTTCGATTTCCCATATTTTTGTAACCGGTCGTATTAACCGGATAGACCGGAATGAATGAATCAGACCAGAAATCGAATGAGTGGGTTATTGTATCAGATTACCTTAACTCAAACCCGACCCAAAAACCCAAATGCCTAGGCCTAACTAATGGGTCGACCTCAACATATATGAGCCGAGGAGGGAGCCCAGTAGGCATTTACAGGCCCTCTGTTGACAACATGGTGTTTTTGAGGGTAGTTTTCACTATTTGGGCCGAATTGGCATGTTGGGTAAGGCCCATATCCAACATAGGGTTAGGGTAACTAAACCCTAAAAACTTGTGCATATGTATTAGAGTGTGACTATATTCATATTTTCTCTCCTTCCTCTATAAGCGGCACGTACAAAACAACGATCATGAGCAGAGCAAAACATTCAAACTACATCCCCACTGATCTCTATTTCGAGATATTCTCAAGGTTGCCTTCAAAGTCCATAGCTAGGTCTCGCTGCGTGTCGAAGCTATGGGAGTCCATGCTTAGCTCTCCATCTTTCACCGAACTGTTCTTGACAAGATCATCGACTCGTCCACGTCTCTTATTCGCCATCAAACGATCACGTGAGTGGCGCTTCTTCTCGTCGCCTCAGTATCCTTATGATAATGAGAAGTCTTCTCTTCAAGTAGCCGCAACAGATTATAATGTGAAGCTCTCTGGCAGGTCCTTGTACAAAAGCACGTGTATGTGTAGCTTTACCTCTGGTTTGTTATGTTTTCCTAATGTGCCGATCTTAGGAGGTAGGTATACTGAGTGTGTTATATGTAACCCTACCACAAGACAACATGTGATTTTACCAATACTGAAAACGGGAATGAAGTCGAAATTGTTTCTAGGGTTTGATCCTATTGGTAAGAGATACAAGGTTTTGCTTTTGGTTGAGGACTGGGGAAGTCATAGTACCAACTCATATAGTGATTATTCTGAAACGGTTCATTATATTATGACATTAGGGACTCGAAAAATGAGTTGGAGGAAGATACCATATCACTCAGAGGTAGTCCTTTATCCTTTGAATAAAGGGATATGCATCAATGGGGTTTTGTATTACTCAGGTAGACAACATGAAACAATGACTTTTGTTATAGTTTGCTTTGATGTTAGGTCTGAGACATTCAAGTTTGTTGATGCAAGTTGCTTTAATAAGCGACCTGATATTACATTGGTAAACTATAAAGGTAAACTAGGTGTCATTTATTGGATGTCTGATGACTTGTGTGTGTGGATTCTAGAGGATGTCGAAAAACCTGAATGGTCCAAGTTTGTTTATTCATTTGCGGGTCGTCTCGACTCGAAGTTTTGTTACGTCATTGGAATGACTAGTAGAGGTGAAATTGTATGTTCGGGTGAAGATAAATTTGATGAACCAGTCAGATTTTTATACTTCGATCCTGAAAGGGACACTGTTAAGATTGTCCATATCCAAGGTTTGAAGTATCGTAGTATGGTTTACACTTTTGTAGACCACGTGGAGGATCTTAATGTTAACGATGTAAAGCCAATCACGTCAAGAATGCAATGGCTGGACATCATTAGTGAAAAGGCCATTTAAACCAAAGCAACGTTGCGTTCCATCATTAGTGAACGAGTTCGATTTTGTTAGCTAACTTAGAGTGAGGACATGTAATGCTTTTGTTGTTGGCTAATCCAAATCTACTTATTTTGGTTGTTCGTTCTTTCTTGTGTTTATACAAATCAAACCGAATAGATTTGGTATAAAGTTTGGTACAATCATAATGATACCCAAATAGGTTCCCTTTGTAACGGATGCTCACTTAATTATAAGTTTATAACATCAATATCGCAAGATAGCTCGGTGACGCAGGCTGTGCCCACGGCCCAAACAGGTTAAACCATAGATTATGGCATCAAATTTTAGATTTAAGTAAAAAAAATAAAAATAAGTAGAGTTTAGTGTTAATTAATTAAGGTTGTTGTTATTAATGAGGTTTGAAGTAAAAGGTGGTTTTTTTGCTGAAAAAGGTAAAATTTGGTTTAGAAAAAACTAATTTAGAACCCTAAATTTAAAACTTTAGTCAAAAAGTTTCAATAATGAAAGAGTTTTATTAATATGATTTTTATGTTATACAAAATGGCATTTTTAAGAAAATCAGTCGCTCCAAAACGCAGTATATGTGACAGAGAAAGGAGATTATCATGGACAGATGTTCGTTGGACATAAACGGGCCTTCACAACATTTTATGTCCATTTAACGTCTATGGCCGCTATAAATTTAACGGACTTTCACAACATTAGATGGACAGTCCATTAAACAAATAAATCTAATTAAAATATAATTAAAACTATAAAGCTAAATTCTTAATAATGTCTTTTCCATTATATTCTTTTGCAAAAATACCATCAACAAAATGAAAATTGAATTTCTTCTGCAAACAAGATTTCTGACAAAATTTTTGAAGGATGTTTATAGCTGGAAATTTTTGGCTGAAATTTTTTTTAGCGAAAGCACTTATATTTATATTGTTCCTATAATAAGTCTTTTAAAAAAATTCTCCATAATAATTTATAACAAAATAAAAACATAAATTTTGTATTAAAAACAAATAAATAAAAAGATAACAATATTTCTGCAACATAATACGGATATTTACCTAGCAGATCTAAAATATGAAATAAAAAATGGTTAAAAATGAACATACGGTATAAGGACATAAATGGACATTATTGTCCTACAGATTTTAAATGGACGGACAAAACGGACTACAAACTTAAACATATATAAATTGACACGAACGTAAACGTACGTACATAAACAAACACGGACGTAAACTGGACAAGTCCATGATAACATCCCTAAAAAGAGAATAAGAGGAAAATACATTTCTGAGTATCGTTTCTTATTCCAGGTTCTATCATTGATCATATATACTCCTTAATTATGTTCCATGCGTGACACATATAATATGAAACCTAAGACGAAGATGACACATCAGTTTACACTTGGGACAAGATTCCAGTGACTGCCTCATCTTCTCTATGTCTCTATGCACTCAACGATATCATCATCATGCTACAGGTAGTAAAACACCATCACAATCTATATTAACATTTTTACGGTAGATTTTGAAATAAATCCTCGACTTCTAAACTATTTACCAACCATGCCGTTGATATAAATTATATATTGTATTACATATGTATATAACTAGTGGTATAGTATATATTACATATATATTACATATGTATATAACTAGTGGCTCAATCGAGATCTTCATGCAGGGTCAAAATTAGTTATTCATGGTATAGTATAACTAATGAGATATATTTACCGTTATATATCCAAAAGAAATAAAATTATTTTGAGAGACTTATATCGACGGCCACGGTTTTTTTCGTGAGGGTTATTTTGAGGCGGTAATAAAGATATATTAGCTAGGGCCTAGGAGTATGATTTTCTCTCTTTTTTTTGTTTTCACTTTTATAAACCCTTAACCCTAACCCTAACCCTAACCCTAACCCTAACCGCTGTACATACATATATATATATATAGTGTGATTGTATTCATATGTCTCTTCATCAATCAGCACGTACAAAACAACAATCATGAGCAGAGCAAAACATTCAAACTACATACCCACTGATCTCTATTTCGAGATATTCTCAAGGTCGCCACCAAAGTCCATAGCTCGGTCTCGCTGCGTGTCGAAGCTATGGAAGTCCATGCTTAGCTCTCCATCTTTCAAGGAATTATTCTTGACCAGATCATGGGCTCGTCCACGTCTCTTATTCGCTATCAAACGATCCCATGAGTGGCGCTTCTTCTCGTCGCCTCAGTATCCATATGATGATGAGAAGTCTTCTCTTCAAGTAGCCGCCACTGATTTACATGTGAAGCTCTCTGGCAAGTCCTTGTACAAAAGCACGTGTATGTGCAGCTTTACCTCTGGTTTGTTATGTTTTCCTAATAAGCCGATCTCAGGAATTAGGTATACTGAGTGTGTTATATGTAACCCTACCACAAGACAACATGTGATTTTACCAATACTGAAAACGGGAATGAAGTCGAATCGATATTCTTTCTAGGGTTTGATCCGATTGACAAGCGATTCAAGGTTTTGCATTTGGTTAAGGTCATGAGAACTCATCGTACCAACCAATACGGAGGTCATTCTGAAACGGTTCATTATATTATGACATTAGGGACTCGAAAAATGAGTTGGAGGAAGATCCCATATCAGTCAGAGGTGGTCCTTTATCCTTAGAATAAAGGGATATGCATCAGTGGGGTTTTGTATTACTCAGCTAGACAATATGGAACTAAAATGGCTCGTTTTGGTATTGTTTGCTTTGATGTTAGGTCTGAGAAATTCAAGTTTGTTGATGCAAGTTGCTTTGATACGGAACCTGATATTACATTGGTAAACTATAAAGGTAAACTAGGTGTCATTTATTGGATGTCTGATGACTTGTGTGTGTGGATTCTAGAGGATGTCGAAAAACATGAATGGTCCAAGTATGTTCATTCATTTGGGGGTCGTCTCGATTCCAAGTTTTGTGACGTCATTGGAATGACTAGTACAGGTGAAATTGTATGTTCGGGTGAAGGTAAATTTGATGAACCAATCAGATTTTTATACTTCGATCCTGAAAGGGACACTGTTAAGATTGTCCAAATCCAAGGTTTGAAGTATCGTAGTATGGTTTACACTTTTGTAGACCATGTGGAAGATCTTAATGTTAACGATGTAAAGCCACTCAAGTCAAGCCTAAGAATGGAAGGCCTACACTAAAACCAAGGCAACGTTGTCTTCCATCTCGTGACCTATACTACTCTGCTCCATCTATGAAGAATACAAGCCGCAGACTTTCTTGCAGAACAAGTATGATTTATTAGCTAACCTAGAGTGAGGACATGTATTGCTTTGTTTTTAGTATAATCCGAGTCTACCTATGTATTTTGGTTGTTTGTTTTTTCTTGCGTTTTACAAATCAAACTGAATCAAAGTGAAAAAAGAAAAAAAATTGTACAAACATAATGTTCAGTTTGCACTTAGGACAGAGATTCTAGTCACTGCCTCATCTTCTCTCTGTCTCTATGACATAAACGATATCATCTGATCATCATCGTCATACAGATAGTGAAACACAATCACAACAACATGAGAGACCATGAAAATTTTACCAAAACGAAAAGACTTGTGAGCTAAAGACTTATGACTTTGTGGGATTCATAATTCTACTGTACGAGTCTGCACATATCTATAGTTCATGAATTAATTGGCTCTCTTCCCTCATTCATAATAAACAGTGTTGATTATAATCTGGAAACTATCTTCTGGATAATGAATTAAGACCAGAACCAATAGAATAAACGTAACACACAAGAGTAATACAACTGAGAAACATGAACTGAAAAATATTTTAAAACGAAGGAAGAAAAGCTAAGATAACACCAAATAGAAGAATGGGCGCACAATAAAACCACGAAACTCAAAAACAATAGAAGAATGGGCAGTAAGTAAAAATCAATCAAAACCACTAGATAAAGTCCTTTCTGTATACAATCACAAAGGAAGTGAAATGCCAAACTCAAAACAAAATGAAACTAAGAGAGATCATACTTTGTGCTATGTACTAATATGGTGATAACCTACGATGAGGATTGGCGAGCACGAACGAGTGCGTTGAGTTCCCTCACTTGGTTTCTCAATCGCTCTGGGTTGCAGAAAAAGTCCACAAATACCCGCCTTTGAAGTTCCACGTCCTTTGCGTGATGCTTCACAATCTGCAGCAATCATAGTACACATTCAAATTTTCTAGTTCACTCTTATACATATATATGTGTGAGAGGAGATAAAATTAACAGATTATGACTTGCCTCCCGTTTATTGCGGTGTTGGAGCGTGACCTCTTCCACTGCGGTAGAGAGTTTGGAGTTGATTTTCCCCATTTCGTCAAGTTCTTTCATCAACGGCTAATGTTACATGAAGGAAACAACATGAGTGAAACTTCCATATATTGGTTTAGATTAACGACTAAAATTGGTAAATGAGAAACTGAGAGTTATTTTTACCCATGGTGTCAATATGGGCTGTGCTGTAGTTGAAGACGCAAAGAGTAGTTGCTGCAGGTTCTGAATATGGGTACATCTGAGAAACAGAGACGAGACAATAGTGATATATGAGGCTCTTTAATGCTTGTTTCTGTGGACGAGAATGAGGAAATGTTACGAGGATTTTGGACTTACAGCTCGTTAATGCATCTGTTTCTGTCATCTGGTAGGGAATTCTCGAGGTCAGACTGAAGTGACGATAAATCCGACTGAAGAGCAACTATCTGCTGAATGATGGCTGGAGCTGAGACATAACTCGATAGCCCGGTTTGGGCATCTATAACAGAAAGAGATGAAGGATATCAGCCTAATCTAGGTTTGGATAATACCAGGCAAAGGGGAACAATTTGTGTAAAACGATAGTGTTTACTACTTGAGTGAATGCTCAAGAGATCTCTAACTCCATGTAAAAAGCTGTCACGGTCATCTACTGCTCCTTGTTCTTGCACATCGGATGCAGCTTGGATCAGTGCTGAACACCGCCCCTGTATATATAGTGAAAAGATGGAATTAGTTTCATTATCTGATAGTTGCAGGAAAGAGTGGACTGAAACTATGGCTATAACCATACCACACGGCTTCTTGTGGCGGAGAGGTAACCCTGAAGTTCAGATTCAATTACTTTTAGCAGAGAGAAGGCTCCAAGCATGTTTTTCTTTTCTAGCTGACATGCTAATTTCAAGAACTGGTGTCTTGCTAGCTGATTAACCAGATGATTGATGAACTGAACAAAATTTTCAGAAATTAATGACAGATTGACAAATAGATTATGACTCAAACATGGATACACACAGTACTGTGGCCAACATATCTTGATGATATCAAATCAAAAGAAGTACAAATAAATTGAAGGCCAACATACCACTTTCTGTTTATTAATATACAGCTCTTGACGCATGACCTTTAGATCGTAGTCACCTAGAAGGGTATGATGAGTAAAATCATATCAAAGCCCAAAACTTCGCAAGAGCTACAGGTGATAAGCAAAGTGTAAATGCTGAATACCTTGCAAGATATAGGTGTCCTGGAGTTGAGCAAGCTCCCAACATAGTTCAGGAATAGTCTGAAAAGAAGAACAGATTAAGGAAATATGTAGTATAAAGAAGTACCAACTAGTTATAGGTTAGGAAAGATGATACTTAAATATCAGGAATTGAGTATAAAAGCAAACCTCGGATAAGAGTTTTTCTTCTTTCTGATAAAGGGTCGAGATTTCTTCAACAAGATCTGCATGTTTTCTCCTGCACAGGTATGAATATGATCACCGGAATACAGTATGACAAGTTAAAGTGTCAAAGATGATTTTATCAATGCCTTGCTTCAATGTTTTATGTTCTTCTACCTTAGAGAATGTAGATCAAAATGGATATGAGCTTCAACTGATGTTACTTGAGATTTGAGTGTCAAGAGAATAGCTTGTTGCTTAGCATTCTCGACCTGGGCTTCAATCCATTGTCTCTCACTTGTTCCAAAGCTGTGAATAACAAGAAAAATCCTGGGAGGGTGAGAAAATTTGTATGCGTGAAAGTACAAAAATTGTCTATGCCACAAAGTGGTCTCCAGTATTTTTTAATGGCTGGCCAAGTAGCAAGAGAGACCCATAACATATACAATTTTCTAAACTAAAAGATTTGATTCAAATCTAGAGCGACGGTCAAGGTGAAAGCTGAAAGTTATATTAACGTAGTACCACATAATACATACATAGATCGAAGCCGTTGCAGTTCAGCTACACGTTGATGCTGTGATTTTTCCAAATCTGCTGCATTGTAAATAGATAGTTAAAGATGGACAATAGCTTCGAAAAAGTAAGAACCATGCACAATAACAAAACCGAGGAGTTTTATTATACAGAAGTTACATAACTGCACAGGGATATACACATTTCAGGCAACGCAATTGCACATCTGGAAAAAAAAACACTATGGTGAAGTTACCTCGCAACATGTTTGATGTATCATCAAGACTAACCCACGAGCATTTCGATTTTCCTTCCTCCGCAACTAAACGGTATGGCCCCTGACATGATAGCAGAAAAAATCACATTAAGCTGAATGCATAAATTGGTGCAGGATGAATAACATTATACTTTCTCCATGGTCAGAAAATTTTCAAACCATACTATGGATAAGATCTCAACTAGCTTGACTTTTCTATATGATGGCAAGAGGCTGAAATCATCAGCAATGACATTCACTTACTGTGTCTAGCTGCTTTGCAAACCACTGATTTAGCTCCTTTGTGCAGGCTGAATCTCCAGCCAAGTAGGCCTGAAAATCGGAGTATGCTAAGTAAATTCCATCCTCTGCACATATGAAACAGCCAATTAAGTTGGCTAAACGAGTTGATGACAATTTACTGACATAGCTGTCAAAACGGTTTGGCTGACAAAGCTGTCAAAACGGTTTGGCTGACAAAGCTGTCAAAACCCCCTTCTTTGTCTACAGAAAATACAACTTACTGCCTCCATGAAACTCTTAACACAGATAACTGATAGAAAAATCACATAAACGAAATCTTAGCTACAAAGAGAAACCAATCTAACTAATTGCTCTTTTACATAACTACCAGATACACAACTACCTTATGCAGCTAATCTAAGAGTATAGTGCATTAAAGCCAATTACAAAATTCAAATTCAAAGAAGATTTACGGTAGTTCACCAGGTATGGAAAAGTCAAATGAAAAGAGAAGGTATAAGAAGGACACCTTCGCCGGAATGATAATGTGCCAGCTCTTGAGAAGTGGAAGCCAGTCTTCCTAGAACTCCATTCATCTTAATCGCAGGAAAATACCAAAAGTAAACATCACAAATCTATCAAAGACCAAAAGAATTACACATTCCGCTTAAAAAATGGTGTGAGGACATGTATCAAACCTGCAAATTTCTAGCAGATAAGCTGTCTTCTATTGTTGTTATCTGTCCGGTGACAGCAGAAGTTGCAGCAACTCGAGCACGTCTCCCTTGGATTAGAGCTGAAGATTGGCCAGTGAGCAAATCATATTGAGTCTGTAACCGCCTTAGCTGCCTCTGCAACTCCAAGGCTTCAGCCTTATGCAACTCTGTTGCATCTCTGTCAGTTAAAAAGAAACTGTCAGTAGTGCTGATGTAATTCTTAGTATCCACAACTACATCAACAAAATCTAGTTCACTTATGAACACCTGTGAGAACATAAGGAGATCTCACACAATAAGAACCTGAATGTCATACATGAAAATCCAAGTTATAAGAAATAAAGTTCCTGGACATTCTCACAGGGAACAAAATACATTTATATAGAGCACCACAAAGAAACCTATAATTACTAATGCAAACGTCTCATGAGTCACATAGATAAGTGACATGAAACCAAAGTTCTCAACAAAATTACCCCACTTCTCAGAAGACAGGAAAATACTATAAAAAGTTCTCAACAAACTTAGTGCAGACATGATATCCCATACTAAGAAACCAGGACAGTGTTACTTGTTTCAAGTGATGTGAAGCTAAGTCCTTGGCAAAATTTCCTCAAGAGCCTTATAATAGGCATGAACAGAAAGTACAGAATAGCATATATGATATGAAGGTCTAACCTTACTTCTTTAATGCTTTCTTCTGCTCCAAAAACCGCCTCCTGATTATTTCTCCTGGAAGAAAATGCTGATATACTATCATAAGCCTGGTCCAGATCGTCGCCCTGAATCCATACACACACAAAAAAAAAAGCACAGTAAGAACCAAGGAATTAACATTGTAAGAAAAAACACATATGTCTGATGAATGCTCAAAGCCAAGAAAAAGTAGAATGACTCAAGGAGTTACCTCTAAGAGTTTCCCATCTCTCTGAAATTGCTCATATCTGATCCAGAAACAAGAGAACAACACAATTAACCACTGATATATGAACTAACTACATACAGAGAAGCACATCGGGTTTAAAAAGCAAAGAAATGTATCTGATTCATCGCTAATATGTTCCTCAAAACTAATATAGAACAAAAGATTGATCAATGAGAAAAAAATAAGCTAGCTAGCAACAACAATCGAAACTATAACCACAAGGATTCGCCTAATTGCTTCAATTCAAGCTTCACCAAACTAGAATTTATAACCCAATTCACCAAATTCAACCTAATCCGGAAACCAAACACTATTCAGAAGCACGACATTCGATTTGAATCTGAGAATGGCAGCGGAAAGAGAAAGAGAACAACATACAGGGAGAGTTCGGCGAGAGAGAGGACATTGGAGGGACGAAGAGAAGAGCAGATCCAGTCGAGGATAGGTCGAGCATCGTCGTACTGGAACGGCCATTCGAAACTGTCGGGGTCTAATTTTCCGGCGCCTTCGTAACCTAGCTCCGCCACAAGAGAGCACAGTCTCGCGCTGCTCATCTCCGATCGCCTTTTCTTCTACAGCGCCGGTGGTTGTGTGGGAAATTATACGATTGCTTCGAAATGAAATTTTGAAATTCACACGGTGGTTCTTTGTTTGTTGCCTCTTTATTCAATTTTTGAAAGTTATGTAAAAGAAATAAGCATTTGTTCTCGTCAGTGGAAATATTCTGAATTTGATGTCTCCTTTAATTTTTTTATTTTTTTAGTGGATTATGAAGAGCTTTGTATTTTGTTGTCAACCAAAAAAAAAAACATAATAGATTTGGTGTTTTTATTTTTTTCTATATTATTTTTAAAAAAATGTTTAATTGATTAAATCTAATACTCCAATTAGTCTTAGCAACTAGTCTACTTCAATTTGGTTACAGCTTTGGTAAGGGAGAAAACTAGACAAACGCAGGTGCTCCTAAGCTAGGTTGCATGGAAACTTTTGTTCGAAATGCGTTTTCGAAACGTTTCGGAAACAGAAACTGTTGGAAACTATAACATAAACACGGTTCCAAATTTTTTTTTATTTAGAAACTCGTGTTTCCAACATGGAAACACGACAAAATATTACATTTTTAGTTAGAAACTCAATAAACAAATATTTTGATTTATGATATATAGAGTGATTACTTTTATACTTTTAAAATCTTATTAATTTAATTAAATACACATATTCACAATAATATATGATATATATATATATATATATCTAAATTTATGGATTTCAGTGTTTTAATATTTATCTTTTAGTTAAACTATTTAGTATATATATTTAAGATTAACGATTTTAAATATTTTTTCTTAATATAGTTTGGATGTTTGATGTGAATATTACATATTTATATATGTATTTATTATTAGCGTTTTCAAAACGTTTATATATCTTAATTTCATAAAAAAACACGTTTCTCGTTTTTGAAACGTTCCGTTTCCGTTTCCATGCAACATAGCTCCTAAGTCTAAATTGAAATGTCATCGCAGCGACATTCACAAAAGCGTCCGTTGAAGTGAAGAGATAACGATGAAGAGGGGAATGATGATAGGATTTGATACGATTCATGATCATGATCTTGAGTTTTGAGGTTGAAATTCAAATGAACTTGGTGTTTTCTTGTACTCTTTACAAAGTAATTCTCTGTTGCCATTAGTTGTGCTGAGATTCTGGAGTTTGCTCCAATCGGATGGTATTCATGATTGCTTCATAAATAGTGGATTCATAGAGCTTATGCTTAGAACATGTATAATGGTGATTTTTGAGGTGTTTTAAATTGGATCTTAAAAATAAAAAATGTAAATTAATTGATTTTGAAATCCGTCACTTATTTGTCAAAAGTGTCTTATTTAACACACTTTTGTAGGATTTAGACACTCAATGAGTTAAAAAAATTCAAATTAATTATTTTACACACCCATTAAAACGTCACCACTGAACATTTGTCTTATAATCTTGCTCATGAATTAATCAATCACATAAATCAATGTAAAATGTGCAGTAGAAACACAACCTAATGTACTCTTCATTCATCCAACTTTTTTCCCTGAGACTTATCTTATTGTCGATCCTCTTGAATAGATTACTTACCCATCTTATGCATCCAGAACAAACTTTAACATGTCTTATGAAAAGCCTGTCATAGACAATGTCTATGAAACCCTTGGTTAATCCCAAATTTCCAATTTATCTGTTAATTTAACCAAGATCCAAAACCAATGAATTCTCCGTTAATTTTGGTAACCATCAACAAATATTTTGGTTAACAGATAACTGAAAAAGCCAGCTCAGTTCAGTTAACCGAAGTGGCATGCCATTAATTTTTGAGGATAAGAAGAAGTTTCATTCGTCTTAGAAAAATAGTACAAGACTGTGAACGTAGTTAGTTTACAAATTGATGTTATAATAAGAGGCTGTTTGTACTAGTCCCCTTGTAATATAGCGTTTCACAAGAAGCAAGTCATTACCAATTCTATCTATAGGAACTAAGGGCAACATTATTGGGGGTATCTTAGAGGGATAAGATACCCCAGTTTTTGCAAAAAAAATCTTATATAAGATACTTTCTATGCAAAAACCGGGGTATCTTAACCTTCTAAGATACCCCCAATAATGTTGGTCTAAGAAGCAATTAACAACACATTCCACTCCAATAAAAGTTTCCTAGGTAGTCCAAAGACCAAGAACACCGGTACCCATAAATTTATACTACCTACATTTAGTCGTTTACACAGTTGATTCGCTCTGTTTTCTCAGTATTTTTGCATGCATGGGATGTGAAAGAGATAATATCAGACAAAACCAATTATTTTAATGAGATATATTAAATAGTTTTGAAAGTACGTAGAAATCCAAACCCCTTAATAATGAGAAAAGGCAAAGGGGTTTCTCGGAGTTCCACGACGGATACAGTTACAACCATAGCCACAGGAAGAACATATTGAATTACTAGTATGAGTAAGAGAAGCCTTCATTATCTCCACGGCAAGATTTGCGTTACTAGCAACGAACAACTTGAACTCATCAGAGCTAGCAATCGTACTTATATTCTTTTTGATATATCCAAACGCTGCATCGTTAAGGACTTCGTCAAAAGGGAACTGAGCGAGCTCAAGGATGTCAAGAGAATTCGACAAACTCAAAGAAGACATAAGCTCCATTCTGCATAGGTCACGTAGATGAAGAATGACATATTTGTCAGCCGCAATATAGAGTGACCGAGCATGTTGTTTCACGTTGTCAGAAATCGTATAGCCATGACTGTATATGAACTCAACAAAAGCTTCCAACTCTTCTTGTTTCATCTCTGAGAGAGTGATTGTTTCCACCTCTTTAGTTGAAGTCTTAAGCTCGTCTGATTCTAGCATCTTCTTGAAAACCTCAGATCTTGATGCCTATTCAAATTCCAAAACATACATGCATGAAGAGTAAACTTCATTAACAAGTAACAACACACAACAAGATAAGCAAAACTAGAGTTGATTCTTGAATAAGATGATGATCATCAATAAAGAGAGACCAGAATAAGTTTGTGGGCAGAGATAGCTGAACCATCGTCACTATTCATTGCCTTGAGCCGTACGTCAACTTGCCATTTCTCTGCCAAAACCTTTGCAAGTCCTCCCGAGAAATCCTCTTTGTTATTTGGGGTTGCCATGACAATAGAATATTTGTCGTTGTAAAATGATGGTTAGATTATATAGAGAACACAATGAAAACGGTCAAAATGATTTATTTGTTTTTTTTGTTTCTCCTACTATTTCCATTTTTCAAGACTTTGGAAATAGAGAAGACATAAATACAAAGAGATTTCCAAGTCCAAATTCTATCATATTGGCCTCCTCCTTTCTTGAAAATTGTATCCCGAAATTGAACTTGTGATTAAGAAGATAGTAATAATTTGTTTAATTGTTTATTACTATCTTCTTTATCACAAGTTCAATTTCGGGATACAATTTTCAAGAAAGGAGGAGGCCAATTAAAGAGATAATATCACGATAGTAATAATTTGTTTTAAAAAATAAATAAATAATAATAATAATAATAATTTGCTTAAAAAAAAAGTTTGGTACATTAGTATTAAGATGTTTAAACATGTCATATACATACATATCTAAAATTTTAGCAAAAATAATATATATACATATATATATATATATATATATATATATATCTACAGGGTTTTCAAAAATTTATGTTGGTTTTCAATTATCCAAACACACGCTATATTTAGACACAAATTTTAAAAAGAAAAATTCGAAAGATAGACACAAAACTAATAAAATGAGATTTGTTAATGGTTTATATTTTCTTTTTCTACCCACAAACAATTATAAATTAATTAATAAATAAAAATTTTACTTTTTCTTAATAAGTGTGAAAATCTTAAAACATCAATTCCTTTTAGAAACACAGGGAGTATGAATTAATATTTGGGTTGACTGATAACATAGCACGAAGGAGCAAAACAAAATACAAAACTAGATGATTACTTTTTGCATGGCCATAACTCGTGATGACGTTCACGTATGCATTTGTAATGACCAACTACTTTTGTCTTCGATTCCTTAAACCACATGTCTATGCATGGCTCTGGCTCTGGCTCATCAATACAATCAGATTCACTTAATTAAAACACACCTTATGAGAATACCATAATTAACTATGAGAATAAATTTGGACTTAGTTATAAAACGAGTAAACGAATATTAAATTAAGGTTCTATAATAAGTACATAGTATCCCCAACAAGAATAAACACTAAAGAGAAAATAGTTAAACAAAACAAAACAAATTACACAAAAGAATATTTTGACTCTACCTTATTCCATTACAAAACAAAAGAGTAATCTTTGCTTTAAAATTTGTTCACTTTTTTCAAATTTGTATTGGCATAAATGAATCTAATTACACCAACTTTTCATCAAAAATAGTAAAAAAAAAATTGTAAAAATTATTGTTCAACCTATTTGTAGTGGCATAAATACATCCTATAAACTTCTCTATGATTGTTGTAATAGTAGAAACTAAAAATATAATAAAACGAACCATTCCACGACAAAGTAGAAAAAATCAAAAAAATAAAGTAGAAGCTAATTTGATCAAAATCTATAGTAGTTGCTTTAAAATGTGCTTTAGAGTACTCTTTCCCTAATTTTAAAGCATGCCTCTTTCCTTTAATGACATTTGATTGCCATAATTCCCACCACACTTTTGTCTTCTCTTTTCTTAAAATACCAACTTTTTCTTACTTTATTTGAACGTGTATTATTTTTTTTCTTTTCATTTGTTTTATTCAAAAGATGATAAAAAGACGAAATAATTGTATTAGAAACTGAAGTTTTAATAGTTGTAAATTGGAACCTAAGGAAAGAAAGACCAAACTTTCATAATTTACGTAGAGTCACGCCCAACATATATGTGATACTTTTACGTTTAATATTAAGCTTTTGGTTTATATATATTCAATTGTTTTTTTTTTTCAACTATTGAAACTCGATTGAGAAAAAATAATATGATATACCTACTTTTATGAAAGGTGTACCCATAGAAAAATGCAAACGAAACAATAAAAAAGATAATGATTTTGTTATGTAATTAGGAGAAGAAAACTATTTCTTTCAAAGAATATGAATGAAGTTATAGTAAAAATAAGTATATATGATATATTCCACAAGATCCATCCAATCGATAAATTCCAAAGGTAAAAAGTAGCATCAGTAAATAGTGAAAAGCTAACAAAATGGAGGAAGATTTCGACAACGTTGTTACATGTTAACAAAAGTGATTTCATCAATCACCATATTCCATATAGATGAGACATCAATATAATATTGGGGGAATTTCAAAAATACCCCTTTTCATATAACTCTTTTTAAAAATACCCCATTTTCAAACTTTATCAAAAACCCACTAAAAATGTTGAAATTTATCCAAATATGTGTGTAAGCTTATAAATATATACACAAATTACCTTTATATGTGTCTAAAACTTTATACACCTTTCATAAATAGCGTAAAAATAAATTATAAAAACCTTATAAAAACCGTATAAACCCTTTTAAAAACCTTTTAAAAACCTTATAAAACTTATAAAACGATTTAAAACTATTTAAAACATTTTAAAATATTTGTATCGAATCTCCCAGTAGTATTTATTATATAGAAGTACCTTATAAACTATATAAAACTTTATAATTTTTATATTTAAAAAGGGGTATTTTTGAAAATGGATAGATAAAGAGGGTATTTTTAAAAATGGTTACACCAAAGGGGGTATTTCTCAAAAATTCTCTAGAATATTTAAGGTGGTTTTAATTTATATATTCGGGGTTTGTTATAAAGCTATTTGTTGGAAAATAATGGGATACTATTTTTTTTTTTTTGGTTATGATGATATTCACCTTTTTATTCATATATGTTTATGAGGTAGAATTTTGGGTAATATCTCTTTGAATTCGGTATTTGTTTTGATTAAATAGAAAGAAGAAAAAAAAACTGAATATTCGTTATGGTCATGATACGAATAGAGTGGCAAATAATACAATATAAATAATAACCAAAATACAATATAAATAATAACCAAAATAAAGTACAACATAGATACTTAATTTTAAAAGGTCTTAATATTTTCTATAATACATGGACATAATGTTTGTTTACATTTTCTGTATCTTTAAAACCTATAGAAAGATCAATGTTTCTTACTATTCTTAGCTTTTGTGTTTGTAAAGGTATCAAAATACATGATTTCACATATTGGCACTTCTTGAAATTTATGATTTTTAATTGTTTTTTGGTTTTTTAGTAGAACGTACCATATCGATGATTATGCAGAGAATTATCTCATGGATGACTTCTAAGAGAACTTCATATTTGAAAGTATTTTCATCTTCTTGTGTGAAAATTTCAATGCGGAGAATACTCTTAATCAAGAGATCATGTGATATATACTCAACGTTAGAGATGTGATCTATACTATCCATATCTTAGAGCATGTTCAAAAGAAAGTTCTCTTAAGGAGTTCTCAAAATTATTTTGATAAAAAAAATGAATAATTATGTGAGAACAGTTATCTAAAAAAGCTTAGAATTTAGGGGCGGACATGGCCCAAAAATTAAATGGGTGCAAACTGACATGTTAAGGATTCAAACTCACCACATACCATATTTAACGGGTGTAAACATAACCATTATGTACAATATATTTTTTATAACATTTTGTAGGTTAGTGGTGGCAGCTCCATCATAACCACCATAAACTATAACGTAGGTCCGCCCCTAGCTCAGATCATCTCCATCATAAACATTTAGTGGATATCTTCCAATTTTAAGAAAATGAAAAAGAATAAGAAAACACGAAAGAAAGTGTGATAATGTCTCTACAAAATCATTTTGAGAAATCCTAAGGGCATCTTTATCGGCATATGTGGGAGGATGCTATATCATTAAAAACACTATGAAATAATAAAATAGTGTATTTTGAAGGAGTATTCGGGTCTTGCTTAAGATGTTTGTTGAGTGGGTGTTTAAGCCACGTGTCATGTGGTGAGTGGTATCTTTTTATGTTTTTGTATTAATTAAATAAAACGTTTGTGTGCTTTAATTAATATGTTTGTTTCTTTTTATGTTTTTCATTTTTATCTACATTATTTTTTTTTGGTTATTAATAATTTATAATTGTATTTTCTGTTTCTTTTTCTTTTCAAATCAATTTTAGTATTATTTTGTATGTTTTTAATTTAAAATTTATTTAAAAATATGTATTATATTATTAAATTATTTAATTTTAAAAAAAAAACTAGAGATTCAACCAATAATCAACTCTATAACTTTGGTTCTTAATTTTAACATCTTACATTATTATATTAATTTACTACCACTAAGCACCATCCTCCCACATATCCCCTTAAAGATGGTTTAAGACATCCATTTGCCAAATGTTAATTTTGTAGTGCCTCAAATTTTCAGATGAAATAGTTATATTAAAATATTAATTTTGTTTAAGTTATAACTGAATTTGAAGACATCTACTGATGTGGATGCTCTCCAATAAATGAAACTATGCTAGTTTCCCAAAAAAAAAAAAATTGAACTAAACAATAATATTTTGGCATTTTGATAAGGTTAAACCAATAACAAATGCCCATGTGTATACACAGTACAAGTAACCGTTGATAAAACAAGAATTTTAAGAGCTCTTTTTTCTTCTCTTTCTAATCTTTTTAATATTTTCTTTTTTTTAATATGTTAATAACTTTGTTAAATAACGTTGTTGGAGCTGGTCTTAAAGAACCTCTAAGAGATGCTGACGTGTAACGTGTTGACAAATGATTAGATGAAATGTTTTTTATGAAAATAACAAATTTTAAAGGCATAAAAATGAAAGTCTCTCTTTATTGTTTCTCTTCCTTCTCTCTCTCTCTCTCTCTTTTGGGAATCTCTACGCCATAAAAGATTATCTCTCAAACTGTTTCAAATCCTACGAAATTGATTCAAATCTGGTTCGATCCATGTTTATATCATTATATCCATCGACGACTAGGTTATTAATCTCCAAATTTGGATCACGAAATCGGAGTCTCCTTCACAAAATCTTTCACAAAATCAGAGTCTCTCTCAATTTTTCCTACGAAAATCAAAAAGAGCTTTTCAACAGGAGAAGAGAGAGCTTCTTTAGTTTTGCCCTCGAACTATTAAATCTCAAGTTCTGATTCTTGGATGAAATTATGGGTTTCCGATTCGGTTTTATATTGTTTGATTCTTTCAGTTATAGAGTTCATTGGCTTGTTCTAATAGCTGTCGAGAGTTCTGAGGTTTTTTAGAGTTCTTTT